AATAACCAGAAAAAATAATTGTTGAAAATACTTACGTGAAGGTAAAAGACCTAATTTTTTCATCACGACAAACTATGTTTGTACAACCAAATACACAGCAATAGACTTTACTTTTATTTTTTCTTACTGGGAGTTCCGTAACAAAAAAAAATTCTTTATAACAACTTCTTAGTTTAACAATACTAGTTATTTTCAATTGTACTTTCAATAATAAATAAGCAAGTCATAAAATTAAAAATATATATATTTCCACATAAATATTGTGTAGTTTAAGTCAGCTATCAGCAATTTTATTGTTTACTCATAAAACATATGTGAAATTATTTAATAAAATTATAGTACTTTTTATTTTAATTAATATTTTCTATATAAACAAATTAGAACAATGTTTGAAGTATATTTCATCAAAAATGATAGAGAAATGTTAATACTGAGTATGATAGTTTTTATTTTTAGAATATAAAATTAACACTGTCCTACCTTAAATATACGGCATAAAGATTTTTACATATCATTAACTGTAACCTTTAAAAATTTGTTTATGCCGTACAGTATTAGATGACCATAAAGTACCCCCTAAAACAGTTGTGGTATTTTTATCCGCCAAAAATATGGTCTGCATTAAAATGAGCAGCATGATTTTTTCTTAATTCATTGACCCTTATACTATTTAAAACAATAATAACATTTAAGAAATTGCTTTATGTTATTATGTACGACAACTTAATTTTTTACAAAAATTAAAAAAATTTTATTTTTTGTTCTCTCTATATTTTTTTTAGAACAGTTTTTTTTTACTGGCAATACTATAGAACTATTGTACTTAGCATTAATATGTTAAAAAATAAGTTGCCGTACAGAGTCAAATGATTTTACAGTTGTAAAAATCAAATATACGATTCAATTAAGTTAATTATTGATATACATTCAAAAAACAATAATTTTTAAACGGCATTATTTTAATTAGTACTTCTGAGTGCTAAAAAATAAACTGAAACCGATGCTGTTGTTTTTCAGATCATCCCCCAGACCCGTGGAAAAAGGTGGATTTTAACCCTGGATTTTTCTCCCTTGTTGCACGATTTTTGCACGGCGTTGCGGAATAATCAATTAGAATAGGTATTTAAATTGTATGAAACAAACGCCGTTCATAATCAAATGATTTAATAGACCCGAGGTTTTGTCAGAAAGTCAAAAATTTTTTCCGACTTTGTGGCTTACTATTTTTTGACGGCACTACGTTTTTTCTCATTATTTTCGATGGATCTATAGGTGGTAAGAATGCCGTAAAAAATCATTTGATAAAAAAGCACCCGGCTATTTTTTGCTTTTTAATTCTCTCCTGCACTCAGTTTGACAGCTTACAAGTCCCAGCATAGTGCTAAAAATTATTATTTTATGCCTTTCCATCAACCAATATAGGTTTCCTGCAGGATCATATGACCCATCGATTTTTTAAGTCAGGCCTGTAGTCTATAAGTGGATTGAGAATAGAGAAGATCGAGGTGCAGGAGATAGTGAGGTGGATGACGGAGAAGGTGAAAAGAGAAATAGAGAGGAGCGAGGAGAAAGGAGGAAGATTGGAAGGAATGTCGAGAGAGGGTTAGTTGGACAATAATTGCAGGGGAAAGAAAAGCGAAACGAGGAGGATATTAAGAGAATGGAGGAGAGGGAGAGGAACGAGAGAGGATTACGGGTGGAAGAAGGCAGAATACAAGCAGTTGTGTGAAAGGAAAAAGGAGGAGGAGAGAGACAGGGTGAGTACCGAGATAGGGAAAGGGGAGTAGAGAGAGCATTTTATGAGGCTGCTGGGAGGGATGGATGAAAGAGTCGTAATGGAAACAGGAAGAGGGAGGAGAGAGGACGGGGAGAAGAAGATAAGTGTGGAAGATACTGTAAGGGTAGTAGGGAATTTAAAGGAAGAAAAGGCAGCGGGGATAGACACAATTCCTAACGTGGCCTGAAAGTTCAGAGGAAGAAAGGGGTTAAAGATGGCTAGAGCAATTTTTAATAAGGTGTGGAGAGGAGAGGGCTGGCCGGAGGAGTGGAAGGAGGGAGTGATTATACCGATAGTGAAAAGAGGAGAGGGAGAGAAGGTGGGGGATAATAGAGGTATAACGCTTATGCCTTCGCTCTATAAGGTGTACACAGCAGATTGGCGAGTAGAATTGAGGAAGAGGTGGAGAGGAAGGGACTGGTGCCGCAGAATCAAACGGATTTCTGAAGGGGTCTAGAGACGATGGACAACATATTTGTTCTAAATTATCTGGTGGGAAAACAGGGTAGGGAAGAGAGGGAGAAGCTGGTGGCGGCGTTCGTAGACCGAAAGGCGGCTTATGACTCGGCAGACCAGAAGGTTTTGCTGCGTGAAATGGAGAAGAGAGGGAGAAGAGAAGGACTTAGGAAAAGGGTAAAAGAAATTTATCAGGAAACAGCGAGTAGGGTGAAGGAGGGGGGGAGAGGGATAGATGCTGGACTGCAAGAGGGGTCAGGCAGGGGTGCTTAATGAGTCCGATACTCTTTAACGTATTGATAGCGGACTTAGAGGAGAAATTGATGAAAGGAAAATGGGGTGGTGAAAGGGTGAGAGGGAAGAGGATAGGTTGGTTACCGTACGCAGATAATGTGGTTTTATTGGCGGAAAGAGAAGAGGAAATGGGTAGTATGCTGAGAAGGATGGAGGAGTATTGCGACAGGAAGAAATTAAAGGTCAACGTGGAGAAAACGAGGATATTAAGATTTAGGAGAGGAGGAGTAAGAAATAGAGAAATAGACCTGAATTGAAAGGGAAAGAGGATAGAGGAGGTGAAGGAATGCAGGTATCTGGGCTATGTATTCAAAAAGAATGGAGGACAGAAAGCGCACTTAAGGGATAGAGTAAAGAAAGTATGGGCAGCAATGAGGCAGGTTTGGGGATTGGGAAAAAGGATGTTCGGCAAGGATTGGAAGAGAAGGTTTTGGTTCTTTTATACACTGATGTGGACGGTTTTAAGCTACGAAGCGGAGATATGGGGGTTTTAGGAGATGAAGGAGATCGAGGGGGTACAGGAGAGGTTCTTGAGGTGGACATTGAGTGTAGACTGGAGGACACCAGGGTACATGGTAAGAGAAGAAGGAARAAGAGATAAATTGKGAACAAGAGCAGTGAAGAGAGCGTGGAAGTATGAGGAGAAATTAAAGAGAGGAGAGGGAAGGGAGTTGGCGAGAGAGTGCTGGAAGGAGGCGCAGTAAAGAGAAAAGGAGGATGAAGTTGAGAGGTCAAAGTGGGAAGAAGAGAGGATAAGGTTTAGGAAGAGGATAGCGCAAGACAGGGAGGAGGTGAATGAAAGTCGGGAAGAGATTGAGAAGGAGGAAAGAAGGCGGCAGGAGGAAGAAAGATGGGTTAGAATACTAAGCTCTAGATACAATGAATGGTACAAGCTAGTGGTAGCGGAAAGGCTACCAGGATATTGAGTGGGCAAGTGGAGTGAAGAGAAGAAAAGAAGAGTGGCGAGGTACAGATTGGGGAATGAGATGAGGGAAGGGAGATACTGGGAGGAGGAGGAGAGGAGACGATGCAGGGTGTGTGGATGGGAGAGAGAGAGAGCCATGGGAACATGCCTTCTGTTTGAAGGCTGCAACAGAACGATAGGTGATGGGGACGGGAGAGGAATGGATAAGAAGATAAAGGAGATTTTGGACGAGTGTGAAATGGGGGAGGAGTGGATGAAAAGGATTGTGAGTATAAGAGAGGGTAGGAGGGACAAGGTTGGGATTGTGGGAGGTAGAGGCAGTGGTTTGGGACGGGTGGAGGGTGAAAGGAAGAAGGGGGAAGTGAGGGATAGAGTAGTGTTAAGATAGGTTAAGGATATAATTGTAAAATGAGTGTAACCCTTCGGGGAAGCAGTAAAATGTATCTATCTATCTATATATATTAAATAGTTATTATATTTTTATTATATTATTACTTTTTATCTATTTTTTGTTATTTGAATTGAAATATATTTTTTTTTTATTGAACGTAACTTTTAATGATCTGCAATTGTATATTTAAATGATAAATTTGTAAAATAATGTATAATATTTGGAAAACAATTAGGAAAAAAAAAATTGTAAAACATTGAATAAATATTTTTGTATTTTATTATCTGCGTTTCTGGTATTATAATGTATTCATTGCTTTAATAAAATATTGATAGTAATTTTCTTATTTTCTTATTCAATAATAACATTTATTGCCATTTGCATATAAACTAAATATGTTTTAAAAATTGTAATTAAACTTATTTATAACTAACAATTGCACTTTTCGTGCTTATACAAAAAATTAAATTTATCTTTGGTATTACAAAATACCTTCAATGAGATATATATATATATATATATATATATATATATATATATATGTGTGTGTGTGTGTGTTTATAATACATTTAAGGCGACTCAAATCATCGGATACATGAGAATTATTACGGAAATCGACGAATATATATTAAGATTATCTTAAGCGTCGGCTTATTAAAACTAATCCAGTGAACACAAGACCTTAAAATCATATCATACATAGGTAATACAGTGATCTTTAAATTTTTTCGTAGACATGACGTAATGGTAACCTATTTATGACTTTAATATAAAGTCATATATTCTGACTTAAAAATGACGTAATAATTCCATCATATTCTTACAGCAGAAAACGAAAGGTTGAAATGTTTTTTTTTTAAACTTTGTATTTTGAGACTATAAATTAGGTATATAATATTATATAATTGATTAATTGCATTATTTTAATTTAAAAAAAAAATAAATAAAAATTTTTTTTTTTTAATTAAATAAAAAAAATAGGAAACTAACTCAGCTTACGCTGTGACTGGCGGGTATAATCGCAGATTTAAACAAACTTTTTTTCTAGAAAATAAAAAAAAAATGAAAAATGGCGAACTTTGAGAAAATAACGTTTTTTCTTAAAAAAAAATGCGAAAATTTCATGGATTTTATAATTTTGAAATTTTTTCTCACACCTGGATGGAAAGTACGTATTTTGCTCCCTGTTTTCAGGGAGCAAAGTGCCCCATTCCCGCCCGGTTGAATCTGTGCCAGGGAGAAAAGTGCCTCATTCCCTCCCGCTTGAATGTAGTAACGAATTAGTGCGCATGCGCTAAAAAATAGAAGCATGCGCACTAGTTCCTTAACCTTAAAAATGTTTTAATAAATTACTGCTCATGCTTATATATATTATATATTATGATATATAACTAATGATTTTAATAACATGTGTTGTCTCATATATTTTATATTTTATTTATTTTTACAAGTTTTAAAGATATTTGTTTAGTTAAATATTACAAACATAAATAGGTTACTACGTATACATTTAGTTATTTTCTTGATTATGAGATTTGTATTTGTTATTATTTATTATAATCTGTTTAAACTTACAATTCTTGAAAGTGACAAAAGGTGTATTGACGGTCAAAGAATCAATCACTTCGTTCTCGATTTGAATTTCATTTAAATGCTTTTTTTTGGACTCACACAGACTTACACACACAACCTCTTCGATTTTCAACACTCCCCAGAATAATAATAATTTATAAACTCCCTACTTAATTAATTAAATTTTATTTTAAAAAATATTTTTWAAACTTAAACAATAATGTATATTTTTAATAGAATCTAATTTTATATTTAAATTTTTTTTTAAGTTTTTTTATATTTTATTTTATTTTTATATTTAAATTTTCTTAAAGTGGGGGGCTCCGCCCCCCAACCCCGGCGGGGGGCTCCGCCCCCTCAACCCCCGCCGGGGGCTGTGCCCCCGGACCCCCCTGATTTTTTTTTTCTNGATTTGAATTTCATTTAAATGCTTTTTTTTGGACTCACACAGACTTACACACACAACCTCTTCGATTTTCAACACTCCCCACAATAATAATAATTTATAAACTCCCTATTTAATTAATTAAATTTTATTTTAAAAAATATTTTTTAAACTTAAACAATAATTTATATTTTTAATAGAATCTAATTTTATATTTTATTTTATTTTTATATTTAAATTTTTTTAAAGTGGGGGCTCCGCCCCCCAACCCCGGCAAGGGGCTCCGCCCCCTCAACCCCCACCAGGGGTTTCACCCCTGGACCCCTTGATTGTTGTTAAATTTGCATAATCTTCGCAAAATGTATTAATTGACAACAAATAAAATAGTATATTACATACCTAGGACAGTATAGTAAGAAAGCGGCAACTTCGTTTTACGCAGCGAGAAGAGAGGAAGGCAGGAAGCGACATCTACGTTTGTTACAGATGCAGCGGGAGAAAAGTAGGCGCTTTTCGCCCGGGTAGAAAAGTAGGCACTTTTCGCCCGGGTAGAAAATTAGTATATTAYTATTTAATTACAAGCGAACTTTCGATCCAGGTGTGAGAAAAAATTGTATACTCACCACGGGAGCAAAGTATGACATCCCGACCCGCGTTTTTGTCACCCTCGCCTTCGGCTCGGGTGACAATATTACGCGGGTCGGAATGCCATACTTTGCTCCCTAGGTGAGTAATATACTATTTTTGTATTTTTTTCTGAAAAATACATTTAAAAACAAATATTTTTAAAAAACGTTCCAATAGGTTAAATTTTTAAGAAGTTATAGCTATTTCAAAGAAAAGAGTCATTTTTTTCAAAAATTAAAAACTTTTTTTCGGTTTGGTAAAAAAATTTGAAATAATTCTGAAAATTGTTTTTCATAGGGTAGCATAGGATAAAAAACATTCAGCCAAATCGAAAGGGGTCGGAGTCAAAAGTGACCGATTTAACGTTGTTATGACTATGTTCCTCAATTAAGAGTCCTCTGGTAATTAGTAGCTAGGGATGAGGAAGAAGGGATTAGAATAAAATTAATCGAACATGTGGTTGAGCCAAACAAAGAAACAATGCCTTTTTTATTGGCTCGTCAGGGAAAAGCCTTGCGGCATAAGAACCTCGGATGATATTTAATTATAACAATGATAGTCCGCCACGTGGTGTTACCACGCGGAAAAATACCGTAAATGTGAAATGTATATAATGGAATGATCTCACCTCTCGCTCGCTTCGCTTACGTTCCTTAACTTCTTTGATTTAGATATATATTCACAGGCGTCCAGTGATGGAATGAAAGAATGTCCTTTTGTACTGGCCCAGAAAGGCGTACGCACTAGCAGTGAGAAGTGGGGATGCGAGAGGTGGGAGTAACTAGAGTGGCGCTTCGATAGTTGCTGGTAGTTGATCGATGCTCACAATGAGTATCGATCTATAGTTCTAATCGATAAAATCGGACGCGCGCGATTTAACTACATCTAATTACCGTTCATTTCGGATCGTACAAAAATGGATTGCCCTATATATATATATATATATATATATATATATATATTAGAGTGGGTCAAAAACATCAATTATTTTTTATTTTACAAGTGCCACGGAAAAATGGGTTGCTAGACATCTTAAAAAAATTCTTACCAAATATGAGCACTTATTTTAATAGGAAAATCCTCCGCATCGCAGTTTTTTATTTTTTTCTCAGTCTAATAGAATAAAATTCATACTTCGTCATTAATTGATTGTACAGAAAAATGTTTGGGAAGACTTTTGTAGGAAATATATGGCTCTATAAAAAAGGTATCTTATAATTTTTCCGTAAACCTCACCATTTGAATGATATTGAAAATTAATATTAATATATATATATATGTACACGTGGCACGGAACGTGTTAATTATAATTTATATTATTAATTTATGTTATATTTTATTATTTAATATTATTTATTATTTAAAATTATTAATATTGTTATTTAAATATGGATTAGTAATATAATAGAAATTAGCAAAAGTTGGCATGGCTCGGTGAGGCAAATCACCATCCAGTAGTAATGTCCTTTCAGTAATCGTATGTAGTCCAGTCAAAATAGCCCTGAAATAGGGTTTTTGGCCTATACGGCTGGAAAAATATCAAAATAATCAAAAAAATGCGTACAAAACTGTAGGCAAAGTAAAAAAGTTCTCAACTAACGGGAAGGGGTGATAAAAATTTAAAACTATCCTGAAATACGATTTTTTAATTATATGTTAAAAATATCAAAAAAAGTTTCAAATAAAAGTTGTAGAGCATAAAATTTTAGGCCTATCTTTCTCAACAGTTGTTTTTCCCTAAATCGCATACTTTCACCGCTACGACGGTTCAAAGTACTAACAAAATAAAAATGCGAAAAAAAAAATATAAAACTTGGACTTTTTTAATTTTTTTTTTAATTATCTTTAAAAAATTACAAAGAAAAATCGTAGGGAAAAAAATTTTTTTTCATCCCTTCTATTAAAAATCAAGGGGTGGAAACGGTCTTTGCTCGATATTTCACTGTAAACGGGTTATTTAAAAAAATTTTCTTTTTCATATGAATTTTTATTTTATTTTTTAAATTTTAGTGTTGGATTTATATTTATAGATATTTACCTGCAGGAAATATCCCATTTTAAAGACATGTAATTAGTCCCTTAGTTCTACGCCTTTGTAGAAAGAAACAGAAAATGAAGATATCTCGCTCTTACTCATTGTGATATAGGTCGCCATTGCACGCATGCGCAAACTCTTAGCTTACATGCGTGCAAGTGAGATAGATATGGTATGAAAAATAAAACTCTTATAATTCTATTCATTTAAGACATTTCATTTTCAACTTATATAAACTCTATTATGTATCTTTACATATAAAAATAGAAAAAAAAAAATTTACCTCCCAAGATACGAACCCTAAAATACTCGGCCACTATTCGAACGAATCGCCGAATCCTTGTCATTATACTAAACCTATTAAATACCATTCATTACTTCACAAGTAAATTTAAATACTAGATAGCATCATAAGAATTTTTAATTGCAAATATCTCAAAAATTAATGAGTAATGGCCCCTATAACCATATATATTCCTAAAAAACAGAAGCAAAATCTATCATCCTGAAAAATTTGAACAAAATCCGAGAAGGCAAAATCTTGCGCTGTCCTTGTCAGTGGTGAAACTTAATAAAAAGTATCAGTAAGAGAGTAATCATATTTTTTTAATATATCTCGAAAGCTAAAAGAGATAAAATATTTTCGTACATAACCTTTTTGGTAGCAAATAAAATTTTCTACAAAACATAATAAACAAAAAATCGCTTTATCTCGCTTACTTTTTTAGATGTTTTCAAAAATCTATCACGCTATGTCATGGATTCGCGCGAGACTCTCGAACTATAAGAAAAAGTGTTTTCTCGTGTTATACAGCTTTCATTGAGAAGAAGCTAACAATAGATTGTCTATCTCTCTTGCACGCATGTAAGCTAAGAGTTTGTGCATACGTGCCATAGCGACCAATGTCACAATGAGTAAGAGCGAGATAGCTTCATTTTATGTTTCTTTCTACAAAGGTGTAGGGCTAATGGACTAATAACCTGTCTTTATATAAGGATATTTCCTGCAGTTTAATATCCAACACCAAAATTAAAAAAAAAAATTTTAAATATATAGGAAAAAGAAAATTTTTTTAAATAACCAGTTTTAAGTAAAATATCGAGCCAAAACCGTTCTCACTCCTTTATTTTTAATAGAAGGGATGAAAAAAAAATTGTTTTTCCCTACGATTGTTCATTGTAATTTTTTAAAGATAAATAAAAAAAAAATTTTAAAAGTCCAAGTTTTATATTTTTTTTGCATTTTAATTTTGTTAGTACTTTGAACCGTCGTAGAGGTGAAAGGGTGCGTTTTAGGGGAAAAACGATCTAAAAGAGGAAGGCCTAAAATTTTATGCTTTACAACTCTTATTTAAAACTTTTTTTGATATTTTTAACTTAGACTCCAAAAATCGTTTTCTGAGTGTAGTTTTTAATTTTTTGCACCTCTTTCCCGGTGGTTTAAAACTTTTTTACTTTTCCCACATTTTTGTACGCATTTTTTTGATTATTTCCATATATTTTTAGACATATAGGCCAAAAAACCAATTTCACGTCTATTTTGACTGGACTATTATCGTTGCAGTGAATGCTGGTCCATATGTATTTTCCCAACAGTACAAGGAATAGTCGTTTGTGTAATAGTAATAGTAGTTTGTTATCAAGCTTGAATTATGTATGCTTTCATTCAAAAATTTTGTTAGTTTAAAAAAGATTAAAGAAAAGTTTAAAGAAGTTTTTGTTTTTCGTGAATTTGATCTTTTTGTTTCTATATCGTAAACGATATTATTAAAATATAAAGTTAACGCGTCCCACTGCTCTAGAAGCCTGGTAATTACAGCCGTTACTGAAAGCCATCGAGTCTCYACTGGACACAAAATTTTATGATTTTTCAGCTCTAAAAATTGTTGATATTGTTTAAATTCATGCTGCCGCTTAGAACTTGATGAAAAGTGATTATAAATTGAATGAAATAATTTTTYACAATCAGACGGTATTGCGTCACAAGCTTCACTGGCACAAAGGTGAAGCGAATGACAAATACACGTCATGATGTAAATGTTAGGACAACTATCTTCAAATCTTGTTCTTACTGAATTATGTTTACCCATCATCGCATTACAACCGTCTGATCCGAAACCAATAATTTTATCAAAAGATACAGAAAAACGTTGAAAAGATTCCCGGACACAATTAAAAAGATGCTCTGCTGTAGCAGATACTTCTCTAGAATTATCATTAAAAATTCTACATAACTCCCAAAAATGACTAACTATTTTTCCTAGAGATTCATCGTAATACCGTACGATAATGCACAATGTTTGAGTCATTGAAATGTCAGTTGACTCATCTATCAATACACTAAAATGAGTTTTTTGTAATTTACTAGCTAGTTCTTTTTTTTCAGCAAATCCGATTACGTTTTTAATAACACATGCGCTTTTAGAAGATTTTAATCGGACTTCCTTTATAATGTHACTATCAGGAAAACACTCCTGGAGTAACGGTGTTAAGTGATCCATAATCTTRAAAGGTACATTGTGTTCTGCAAAAAAACTACACAATTTAATTTCTGCGCGGGAAACTTTATGATTCATTGAATCATTTCGAACTTCATTTGAAGCTTTTTCTATAAAATTAGACATTTTCGCTTGTTTATTTAAACCTTTTAACATTATTAAATGAGACTTATTAGTCGCATGTTTGCRAATAACCGATAACTCCGCAGTGATTGTTGCTTTGCAGAGTGAGCATTGAGCTTTTAATTTATCAGAATGAGGCCGGAGCCACGAACAAAAATCCGGATTATTAAGGGTTCATTCTGGTTTATCATTTTGAAAAAATTAATTTTTTTTTTTTTTTGCATTTTTTGAAAGTAGACATATGTAGAATTATCATACAAAAATTTTAGAACGATCCGAGCAGTCTAAGTATATTATTTTGCGACCCAAACACATAGAGATATTACAGATAGAGGAGACAAACCATCTGCGGTTGTGTAAGTGGAAATGTCTCTGCATGAATATAGCAGCAAAAAACAAAAGGTTGATGTTGACCTGACAAAAACAGAATTA